TAAAATAAAATCGAAATTCCATGAAGCTAATTAAGTTTGTTCACAGCTCGAGCTTCATACTTGTTCACGGTATAAACTCGAATTGCCACCATGAACATGAAATTTTTCCAGAACTAAACTCGAACATCCATGCGATAAAGGTAGTTTGCAAACGAAGTTCTTCATGGCTGAAAGAACCTTGGAATTTCGTGCCTTCAATGGAGAAGCTTCATGCTTTGAGAAACTTTCACCGTAGAATGAACTCGAAATTCCACGCATGCTTCTTTGCTAAAGTTTGTTCGGAAACCATGAACTTCATTGACGGTGCTTCGGCGAATCTAGACGCAAACTCCGACTCTGCCAGGCCGCACTATGGCCCGGAAGATTTTACATGGACTTTGCGCGCACTTTCGGGCGTTCTAAAAGCCAGCCCTGGGCCTTTTAGGCCACGTTTCGGAGCGAGTTCCGGCCGAAGCCGGGAAGAAGAACTTACACTCTGAACGAAACAGCCAGAGACTACACCGTAACATAACGCAGTTTTGAAACATGGATTTCAGAGAGAGCTTCGTCTTTCTTCTCAAAGCCTTCGAAGGGGCTTTGCGCCGACATTTTGTTTGATTTCGTTTTCTTCTTGTCTTTTTCTTCGTTTTTAACCCCCAAAAAGCGTTCTCTGGCACCAAAATGCAGGCCAAAAATGGAGCCGTTTTCTGATCCTTCAAGAACTGTGCTTTTTACCAGGCACCAAAATGGATCCGAATTCCGGGCCAAGTTTTAACCCTTTTTTTAAATCTCAATTCCACAAAATGATCATACACACTGGCCGGAAAGAATAAAAGAGCAGTGCGCGTCTTCAGGGCAACTTGTGTCCTTAAGCTGGTCGGGCTTACATGTTTGCGGAGCGCGTTAGAATGCCCTCGGACATGAATTTTCGTTGCTGTGTCTGTTGCAGAATTGCAAACCTTGCCGAGTGAAGGGATTTGGACTAGATTTGCAGCGACGGAAATGACGTGCACGCAAGTGAGAGCGAAGTTTGATTCTGTTGTGGTTAGACGCGCGGAAGTTTTAGTTAGGATAAGCGTTCGGAAAAACCACTGATATTATTGCTGTTATTGTTACTGCTACTGTTGTTCGTCGTGGTTGTTGTTGGCTTGTTTTGTTGTTTTGTTGTTGTATACACTGATCTTGAGCTTTGGCTGATTTCTCACGTTGCAAGCATTTCAGCTGCGGGTCTGCTGCAGAAGCTGCCTTCCTGGGGTTCGCTGCAAAATTTTTTGCGATGGAGGAGCACGGGTGGATCAGCGTTGCTTTGGGTTGTCTGGATGAAATCGAGACAGTTTTTGTCCGAAGGGAAGGTTTGCAAGCCGCTCTGCGGAGCCCCACGTAATCTGCCCGTTTTTAGAACAATTGCAGAAGCTGTCTTTTTTTGGGGGGTCGAGTTTGGGCCTGCTAGGTCCACGTCTCCTTCTCGAACGTCAGCTCGTGTGGGTCTTCGGAGCTTTCTCCGGGGTGACAAGGGCAGATCGAGGGAGTTGATAAGGCTTTGCATGCAGAGGTATGCAGTAGGTCTGCGTGACAACAACCGTGTCGGCAAATATTTTGTTGATTGTGGGTTAGATCGCCATCCTGGGTTGAATTCAATCCAACTTACTTCGTTCATAATGAGAGATGTTTGGCCTCTGCTGTAACACGTGGCTTTGCTATGCAATGGTTGGTTGTATTTTACAAGGTCGCCCACAAGACGGCAAACATGCACCGGGATTTTTTTGTCTAAGGTGTTTAGGGCATTGAGAACAGTTAAAACCGCAATCAATTTTGCTTCAACTTAACCTTGAGGTCGGACCCGGCCTCTTTCTCTCGCTGTTGCAAGGTTTTGCAGCTCGCATGTCTATGTCGCAACCGGAAAACAACGTGCGATAAACAGTCAGTTTTGAGAACTCAGACAAGGTTTTCTGCAACATTGAGTCTTAGGGCAGTGTACTGCCGTCGGGTGGACATTGTTGCAATTTTGGCTTGCAGATGCCATGAGGGCTTGTTGCAGCTGCCCAGGCCCTTTTCTTGGATCGTGAGATACGTGCGACTTGACTGCGCCCAATTGTTTTGGAAGGATGGATGTGTTGACAGCCCTGTTGACACCCAACCCTGATGTGCCTTGGCACTAGCGGGAGCGGCTCTGCAAGTTTCATTCTGCTGAACCAATTTTCAAACACTGATTTGACTCGTTTGCAGATGGGAAGCTGCCGGTCAAGACAGTTTGGATGCGCCTTGTTTGTGCTCAGGGCTGTGAGTGTTTCGAGCCAAATCCCTTTAAACCGGTCCCTGACTTAGTTTCCTCTGTGTGCGTGGTCAGTTGGTGGTGCAAAGTGTTTCTGACCTTCACCGCGTGGCGCTGCAGGAGAAATGCAAGAATTGCGGAAGAGTGTGGACGGAGCACGCAGGAGTGATTTCGGAGGCAACACACTCGACGCATCTCCGTTTCACTTCCCGGGGGCTGACAGAGCCTTGTGCCAGGCTCACCTGAAAGTCTTTCTCCAGCAGAGACAGAAGTCCCAAGAGGACAAAGACAAAAAGGAGGAGCCGCAGTGCTGCGGAAAACTAAAGCATGTTGGACAGTTCCGTGGAAGGCCGAAGCAAAGCAGGCCGCGGCCGCCAAGAAGTCGGCCAAGAAAAGAGCAAGCCAGGCAGAAGAAGTGTGAGATTGAAGCATGTGCGAAACCTCGCGGTCGTGTACACTCAGGCGGTGGAAGACGACTGGCTTTTCGGTGCAGACAAGGAGGGAAGTTTCGAGAGCCCGTCCTCCACTGTTGTCCACTGCAGCAGCGAATTCACTGCAAGGATGAGCCTGAAAAGAACGACGAGGAGTCCGATGATGATCTCGGCTTCCGGATGCATCTTGGCCTTCATCAGATTCAGCCAACCTTCGTCGATCACCCACGCGCCTTCAAGACTTGCATTTGACTCAGGTTTTCTGCAGCAGACTTCGTCACCTCGGACCCTGGCCCCGTAGGCTCTATGATAGAGCCCAACAGGCAGCTCAAGGCAAGCCGTCACAAGCTTTCGAGACGAGAGCAAGAGGGTCGGGAGTCGGGGCATCTTGTGGTCTGCGTGGAAGGTGGTCAACCTGATTGACTGGGGGGAGTGTGACGTCGCCCAGGACGGCCCGGACGGTTTGTCGCTTCGGTTTTCATGCAGCACTGGAGTGGTCTGTTGGTCTGACAGCCACGGCGGTCGGCGGTGAAGGAACATGAAAACGGAATGCAAAGCGGCACATCTTGTGTGGTTTCGGGGCCGCAGCATACGATATGTCCAGATCACACTTGACCCGGCAGGAGCTTTCCGGAGCTGGTGAGGCGGTCAATCACCGCCTCGAAATTGCAACCGTTGTCACAGTGTTTGCCGGTGCAGTGCACGGTCAGGCAACGGGCAGCTCAGCGAGCACGATGGCACCGCCTGTAGAGGCCATGCAAGCCCGGAAAAACTTGGTCTGGGCATGAAAACCGAAGATTTTGTGAGGTTCGGCAAACGCTTCCGGATCCACGTGCAGGAGGCAGCAAATGGCTGGGCATTTGGGAGACACTGGTCGCTATGAGAGTCCAAGGTGATTCACATTTTCAGGAATCCTTCGGCTGCAGCCTCAGACTGAACGAGCAGAGACTGAATCACAGCTGAAAGTCGTCAGGTTCCACTCCTAACCTGGTACCCCTGTCTGGCAACCAGGATACGTTTCCGCATGCTTGTGATCGCCACATGCTGAAAGCTGTGTGGCTTCGGCAGGATCTCGTGACAGAGATCCAGCATTTGAAGCAAATGCTTGCTGATGCAAACGAAGAGAAGGACATCCAGGTGCTTCGCTTACTTGGCTTGTAGCTTTCCATCAGTGCCACTGTCCCCAGTTTCTGACCCAAGGTTGCCATCGTTCGCGATGAAGTCCAGGAAAAGGAGCAGGAAATTCAAGCGCTGCTTCGCCAGAAGAACGAGACCGAGGCCGCAAAGGAGCATTGAGCGCTTCAGTGTTCGCGAAGGAAGGATGCAACATGACTGCAACATGTGCATGCCAGTGGTCAGGCGCTCCTTCGAGAAGCACGTCAAAAGATTGAAAGTGAAGCACTGACCTAAGTCCCGGAACAGGACGAAAAGCGTCCTACATACTGTGACATACATGTTTCGTTTCATGTGCAGGCATCGCAGCCAGCAGCTGCATCATCGCCGGAGCAGCTGGCAGAGGTGATGCTGTCTTTCACCGTGTGGCACCTTGGGGCTTCCACGGGCTTCCAGGTCCAGCAACTCCGAGCCCAGGTTGCTGAAGCTGAGGCCAAGCTAGAGGCCGCGGTGATCTTGCAAGAAGCGCTACTCTGATGAACTGCTAACGCAGGCCCGCGAAGCGCAGGAGGCGGCCGTCAGTGCCGAGGCGCGGCGGTGCCCGTGGCACGAGTACGGAGCGCACGCTCTCTCCTGGTCAGGTCCAGCAGCTGCGAGCGCGGGTTGCTGAATCTGAGGCCGAAGCGGAGGTGCGACGCAGCTGCTCATAGGTCCGAGAGGGTCGTTTGACGCCACTGGCTCTGACATCAGGGCAGAACGCCGCCGCCTGACCAAAGCAGTGAGGCAGTCTGGGCTGATTCCCAAGAGTTCTGGCAACGTCCTTCGAGCCAGATGTCCAGGTCTTGCAGCTCAGAGCCCGCGCAGATGAGGCTGAAGCCCTTCTCAAGGCCGCAAAATGATGAAAGGTTGACTGTGCTCTTGCAATTTCAACGACTTCTCATAAAAGTTGCGGATTGTTGTTGCATGTCATCAGCAACTGCAGCCATGTCCCCAAACGTGTTTAAGGCGATGAGCCCGATTTTGAACGACCCAATTAAAGTCTGTGTGTAGAGCTTCTGGAAATCAAAGCAGGAGATCCGCAGTGCCTAGGTGTCGCAGGATTTAGGGGTTCAGACTCTCAGACATTTCGGATGGCAAGCGACCCTTCATGCCGTTCCTTCCAGTTTCAGGGGTCACCCCTGGTGTTTTTGCGGGTGAACCCTTGCTCCAGCTGCCCACAAACCTTCAAGAAGAGCCCTCTGGTCAGGAGGCGCCGTACCTCGCAATCTTGGAGAGATATGTGTTATGTGACAGTTATGTATATATGTGCCTAGGATATGTTAGCCCACCATTTGCCTTGGTCCCATTCGGTTTCTCTGGAAAGTTTCGTGGTCCGCTGCTCCCCTCCCCCCTCCCCTCCCCTCCCCTCGCCCCCCCTTTCAGTCAAAAGACAATAAATGAAAACTTTCTGGGCATTAAATGGATGCTATGTGGGAACCCAGCCAGTACGAGGTCGCAACCAACCTATAATTGGTTCATGCTGGTCTGGAGGCGGGTGGTGTGTTGGGTGCATGGGTGGGGTGAGGCGACTGAGGTGGGGTGCGGTGGGGTGGGGCGGCGTGAATCGTCGGATTGCACTATTGTCACTCACATCATTCATTTAACCGTCATACAACGGTCACATAAGATCATTCTAACCCCTGTCTAACAATACTTTGGCACGATTTTATTGAGGAGAGCCGGGGTTGTCTTCAGAATACTGGGTGTAGGTAAAGTTTAACAGTTCAGGACGATTGCAACTAAGCTTTAATGTTGCGACAGTAAGGTCTCTTTAATCACGCGGAAAGCAATTTGTGCCATTGAATCGTCCGAAACTTCAAGTCGCCAATCCCTGAGATGCAATCTGTACAGAGACTCAAGCAGCTTAACGCCAAGGCATGCCCAAGTCCGGTGCCACTTTGAACAATCAACGCTTGCATATGCCAGCCTGATAAGTGCACAAGATTTCTTCCAACTACCCTGGATTTAAAAACATCGCCCGAGCTCGTTGTCTTTTGTCAGCTGAGTTTTGAAATCTGTATGAAGATGAACTTTGTGCCTTTGGTTCGTGTGATGATAATTTGTCATTGGGGTTGGACCAGGTCTGTTGTGTGCACTGGAGGCTTGAGGCGCCTTGAATCGTAAGGCTACCTTGGGCGCAAATCTTCTTCTTGTATGCTACCCTCGCATGTTGCAGCTTGACCGACACGGGTGATATCGCATCGACAACTCTTGCTTGTACTTCGCTTCTTCTGTGGATGCAGGCTGCAAGTCTCGAGCAGCATGGCATAGTTCTGAGCCAAACTGTTGCTCAACAATTTCGATCATATCTCGTGAGCCTGAATCTACCCCCCCCACTGCGTCTTCAGTCTCTTCCCGAGACTGAATCGGCTTCACATATCGGTGGCCTTTGGGCGAAGAACACGTGACCCCGCGTCCCCACGACGGTTGTTGCACATGTTGCAACATCATGAGTCAGCAGTCGCAGGCATGTTTGCATCTTTGGTTTCGTTCTTCCAGCAAAAGCCTCGGTGCGGTCCACACCGCGGTGATGGCATGTTATCTCGCCTCGACCATTCCGCTGGGAAGAGACGTATGCTCTGGCAGCATTTGCGCAGATGAATCCTTCGGGTTTCTCTGCATCCAAGTACTTACCGTCCGACGCTGACATCATGACATCACTCTGCCGTTGCATTCAATGGCCTGTTGCCGTGAAAAGACTGTTGATACTCGAAACCCTCGCTCCTCGGACACAGACCGTGCAATGGTTGTGCAAAGTGGGTAGAACCACCAGTTTGCGTGGTCTCCGAGTAGCGCAGGCCCGCGAAGCGCAGGAGGCGGCCGTCAGTGCCGAGGCGCGGCGGTGCCCGTGGCACGAGTACGGAGCGCACGCTCTCTCCTGGTCAGGTCCAGCAGCTGCGAGCGCGGGTTGCTGAATCTGAGGCCGAAGCGGAGGTGCGACGCAGCTGCTCATAGGTCCGAGAGGGTCGTTTGACGCCACTGGCTCTGACATCAGGGCAGAACGCCGCCGCCTGACCAAAGCAGTGAGGCAGTCGGGGCTGATTCCCAAGAGTTCTGGCAGCGTCCTTCGAGCCAGATGTCCAGGTCTTGCAGCTCAGAGCCCGCGCTGATGAGGCTGAAGCCCTTCTCAAGGCCGCTTCTTCACAAGCTTGACATTGTCAAATTGTCATATATTGTGAAGTGTTGCAATGGTCGACGTGGGACGATCGCCAGCAGAGAGTCAGCAGCAACCGTCCAGGTCCTAAGTCCAACTTAAACTGGCATCGGAGTGAGGCTGCCAATCATCTTCGACTTTTCTTGCTTCGAGCTATGCGAAGGCTAAGGTTGAGGTTGCAATTTTCCCCTCGACCAGTTTTTGCAAGGATTTGGATGCGTACCAAGTGCCTTCGTTTGTGGTTGCCTCGATTGTGTTGCTGGGCTGGAAACAGGAGTTTCCCTTGGCAGGGCTAAACTTGCCGGCAAGAGCATTCAAACGGTCACCCGCATAGACCGTGTTGGCAACGGGAAGATGTTGGCATGGTAGGCGGGTTTCAACAGTCCACGGCGGAGGGCCTCGGCAACGAGACTTTCGACCCGTGGAAGCGAGGAGCTTGGAGAGGCAGGGATAGGCAGGGCAAAATGAATGTCAAGGAGTTCAACGATGCGGAGGGGGCGAGGAGCGGTCGTCACCGTCTTCGGCCGCGACGCCGTCGTCGTCGTTGTCGTCGTCGTCGTCCCTTTTTCAATGGTGGCAATGGTTGCGGTGGTGGTGATCGTCACAGCAGCAGTCGCATGTTCTGGGTCTTCAAAAGCTAAGGTGCTACTTGTACCGACACAGAGGAGGAACAGGTGACACAATGCCAGGAATAAGAGAAGAGTCCACTCACCTTCAACGCTTGACTTCCGTAGTGGTTCCCCTTCCTATTATGACGAGGTGCCAAGCATGGTAGCGTGTCATGCAGAGACATCCTGTTTGCTTTCGTGCGATGATTGTGCAGGCTCTGCGGCAGCGAGATCCGACGGCACACCCTGAGGCGTAATTGCATCGCGTGTTCATGGGCAGGGCAGCATCCTGTTTGTAGGCTGGCAGTCGTCTACGTCTTGATGTGAATCCCGCGTCGACAGCTTGTCACGAACACATGCAAGTGCAGGCCGGCAACAGCGATGGAACATCGCTTGATCATAGCATTGAGGTGTGGCACAATCCAGCGCGAGTGTTTGGGGTGTTGGCTGACGTCAGGTAGAGCAACTTAAAGCGCGCGCCTCCCAAGCGGAAGAACGACTGGAGGTGTCGTCTGTGTTGTGTGACTTGAATCGACAGTCGAGCTAACTGCAGGCGTTGCAGAAAGACACCGCATCCAGTGAAGAGGTGGGAGTGCTTGCAAGCTGTGGTCGACTTTTGTCGCGAAGACAGCATGTCCGAGTGAGACTCAAAATGACAAAGTTTCTAGAAGCTCGTGTGCCAGTTGGAACCGCTCCGAGCACGTGCTGCTCAAGCCGAAACGCAGCTTCAGGTGAAAGACATTCTGCGGAAGTTTGACAAACTCATAGACGGGGCATGCTTGTGGTGTGCAGGCAGCCACCTTGGAAAGCCAAGCCAAGCAGGCGGAGCTGGAGGTTCCGAGCATCGCAGGGGAAGTGGAAGGCAATACCGGACACAGTTGCAGTGCGATGCAGTGCGCAGGCGTGGCAGCAGAAACACGCAGCCTCAAGCGCAGAGGTTGCACAATGTGTCACATCAAAGATTTGCGACTCTTGTATGAAATGCCAGGTGGTTCAGCTCAGAACCCGACTAGCGGAGGTTGAAGAAGAGCTAAAGGTGCGGCGCTTGCAGGATGATAGGTGCTGTATGCTGTTTCTGCTTCGTAGCCGGGTGGAATGAGTGCCGGCTATGCAGGCCCTCCAGCACAGTGCAGCGGCACCAGTCCAGCATGCAGAGGTGGGTTGCCTCTGTCCACTCTTTGTGCAATTGTGTGCATGGCCATGTGGCATGTTACAAGCGCAGACTGATCATGAAAAAAATGGTTGTTGAATTGCATCGGCATGTGTCCCCTCGAGCATCATCGAAGCGTGTCAATGTCGGGATACTTTCCTATGAAACAGAATGTCTTCTTTGACAGGATGCCCAAGCTGCCAAGGCACGTTACCTTCGAACTTGCTGAGCGTCATTTTTGCTGCCAGCTTTGTCGAAGCACAGGCTTTGCGCGATGTCCGCATGCATGCTGAACAGCAGCTTGCGTGGATCTTGCAGCGAATGGGCGTTACTCATCAAGCTGCCGCCCTTGCTCGTTTTATCCTGGCACAGACTGTGAACGTGGAACTCTTTCATGCCTTGTGATGTTTCCGAGCGTGCGAAATGGCAGGCAGAGTTACAGAAGGTTGGAGCGAATGCTCCCTGCGTGTGACTGCCAGGGCCTGTGAAGGTGACAACTTTACGTTATGTTGCCTTGCAGAGCATGCTATCATGTAAAGTTTAGCAAAGGCTTGGGTTAATCCTTGCACAGCAGAGCTTCATGTCATGTAAGAAAACCGGTGCATCATGCTGATGGTTCTTTTGGTGAGGCCATAAATTCGCGCTGAGGATGCCCTCTCACTTTCCGACACGGTGAGTGCTAGGTCCTGAACCTGATATGTACAACTTCATCAAACTCTACAGTGACCAGAGACGTCTTTTGCGTGGTGCAAGCATTGACTCTGTGCAGTGCTTGCCGATATGCTTGACATGACATGTCACACTCCCTGTTTCACCAATAGACGATCTGAGATCCCGGACAATCGGGTCATGCCTTCGGAATGCTCGAAGTCTAACATGTCTAACTACCCCAACACACTGACGGTGCACCGTTGCAACTTATTCACTGATGCAGTTTGAATGCGAAAGCGGTCCACGAAAGGAGCAAGGCTCCCTTTGTGTGGGCTGTAGCAGGATGTAGCAGGGATGGTGGCTGCCCTAGGCGCAGAAGTTGTGTTTGAGGCGCAGAAGTTGTGTTTGAGGTGATCTGTGCCTGAGGGACTGGCGACCTTGTCAGGAATTGCACTTGTCTCATCAAAAGCTCACATGCCCGAATTCAAGCTGGACTCGATCTTCGACCGCCTTGGAACAAGGGCATGTGAAATGCACAGGTTTCCGGCCTGCTCACACTCAGCTGAGCTGATTTCTCTTGCGAGGAAAGTTCCTGGTGTTTGAGGCCTGTCTACATACAGCTGAGTGGCCAGTCCGATGAACGATGAAGCAAGTTTTTCAGCACATGGGCCTCAACGGCACCCTGCTAGCAAAGAGACCAAAAGCGGGACTAGAAAGAGGGAGAGAGCGAGAGAGAGATTAAAACGAGATGGGATTTAGCAGGTTGCCAGCAAGTCTGACAGTCCGAAGCAGCACTTTCTTGTGCAGCCGACCTTTCAGTCCATCTTAACACCTAGGTCCTAGGTCGGAAGTATCTCAGAACAGTACTTAGTTACTTGAAATTGCACGTATCGCAGCCTTCGGTTGTCCAGATTCTGTAGTGCATGCGTTCCCGCACTTTGTAGACCAAAAATCCGAGGAATGGTAGAATCCGAACCCATGGAATCATCATGTTGACGCCGCCCTCGGTTCATCGTTCGGTCGTTGCGCAGAACGCCTCGGAGAGGCGTGCAGTTGCCGCAGAGAGGCGTGAGCAGGCACTGGCAGCGCAGCTGGTGCAGGAAAGAGCCCATGCAGTGGAATGCAGACGACAGCAGCTACAACTTGCCCAGCGCGAGCGAGAAACCTATTTGGAACAGGTTCGAGCCTTCTTTGATATGGCATCCTCCGTGGGCGTACACGACAAACCTGTCAGTCTCTGTCATCCGTCTGTTGGGCCTGGCTGGAACCGAGCAAGCAAAAGCTGCAGTTCGAACGAAAGGCGACCAGCCTCCGTAGACAGAACTGCGGTGACCGCGGTGTCTAAGTCGCAACCTGGCTGGAGCGAAGTGTCCACCGCTGCTCCCTCGACCGTGGGCGAGGAGGATCAGGTGGATCTATGCACTACACCTGCTGAGGCAGACATTGGGTCAAGGCTTAGTGCATCTTTGCGTGCTTGGTTGAATCGGGCTGACGATGATGCTTGCAAGGAGACTCATTTGGCTGTCGACAGCAAAATTCCTGAAGAGATGGAATGCAGCAGCTCGTTACAGCAACTCGAGGTTGCGCTTGCAGGGGAGATCAGGGCAGGTGAAGAAAGGGATCCGTTGGATGAGACCCTTTCTTCCAGCGAAGATGACGTCCCCGAGTCACGTGTGCCGTCAACACAAGTTCGCGATCGCGCTTTGCCTTGCTCCAAGTCCGACAATGCCACGAAGCCTGCGCGTGCACAAGCAAGTGCCAATGCTTGTGACAGCTCACGATCCAGGCCAGCTATCCCAGCAGCAACGTGATGCAAAGTGTCTGCTCAGTGGTGCTGCTATCACACCAGGTCAAGCTAGACCCCAGCTGAATGAAGTGGTAGCACTTGTAAAGGCTTGGCATCAGAAACTGAACTCGACGTAAGCCGATTTCGCGACATCCTGGAGTTGCTTGTGGTTTGAACCTGGCAGGTGTTCTGTCCCAAGAGGGCAGTGCGCTGTTGCTGTGCGCAGGCTACCAGGGACTCCGGAGAGCACTCTCTGTCCGGCATAGTCTAAATCTGACTGCTGGAGGACGACAGATGTGGAGCGATGCCGAACACTTGAAGCTGCGCCAAAGCAGTCAGCTACCCGGAAATCTGCTCTGTCTGCTCTGCCAGAAGCAGGACACCTTGGACACGAGCATGAATGCCAACGTGTGATACCACGACATTCTCACACGAAAAAATGCAGCAGTCCGCGGGGGTGCTAGTTTGTATGTTGATTTCCTGCAGACACTCAGAGAGGACATGTTTTGTTCGGTGTGACCGTGTTGTCATGATTGCCGAGGGCGCACAAATCACAGGCCAAGCAGCCAAGCAGGCAGGCAGTGTTGTCGAAGTAATCGGCCTAAAATCCTGTGCCAGCGATGGCTCAGGACGCCTGCGACGATGACCTCGCTAAAGGCGTTGTCTAGTGAAGAGGAGGCAGTGGCTGACAGGTGGCGATAAAGAAGGAGTGTGCCTAAGTCTCGGTTGCAAGGCTCTGCAGAAGAGTTTGCTGCGCTTAGACTTTGAGGACAGCTCTGTGAAATCCGGATTCAGCGCGACAATCTCTGTCACCGCTAGCTTCTTGCTACCATCTCGTGTGTCACAGGAGATGAAGCGTCAGTTCAGTGGCAAAGAGCCCTTGTGGCGAGATGCTGAGGCTGGCATGGTGATCCGTGATGCTGCTGCTTTTCACGAGCATCTGACCGAAACCGCCAGTGAGTGGGCAGGTGATGCGTGATACCTTCAAGGATGACCCTGACAGAGAAAACAAGCTCCAGGCAAGGTCAAGCGGAGACCGGACGACAGGGGATAAACAAAGGTCTGGAGTGCAGGCATCTCTCCAACGACTGGACGGAGCTTTCAACGTTCTGCAGAGTCAGGTGGAGGTCTCGAGTGCATACCGGACATCACCCGGCTGCTCAGATAGGTGTGTCTCGGATCTCCTTTGCTGCAGGTCAGGCTGGAGAGAGAGCGGGCTCTTGCAGGCAGGTGATTCGAACCAAATCCGACCATGTCAGCGTTTCCGCGCGAGACAGGCTGTGACAAGAATCCAGGCAAAGCCAATGCTCCAGCTTGCCAAAGGCCATCTGACCAGTGCAATGGGTCCAGACATTCGTCGATTTGTTGGAACACGAGGCGGAGACCATTCAGCGCTGTTGGCCGTGGCCGCGCTGTGACTAGAAGACGAGCTCGAAGTCAGCCTGCAGTGCGCAGCTCATGGCATGACAGTGTTTTTTCAGCAGATGTGAATGTTGGGTCTGCGTGGATCATGTTTTGCTGGCTTTCGCGCCCTGTAGGTGCCGATAATATCATGTCCCCCGACTTCCAACTCCAAAGGCGTGAGACCAGCATGGGGATGCAGAGCTTTTGTGCCGATTGAGATCTCCTATGCAGTCTGTGGCAGAACGTGTTCAGGCCGTGCAAGTACATCCACGACGGAGGTTGGATAATGATGTTTCGTGCGTGCGGGCCTGGGCGGCTCTTTTCCGGCCTGGTTTCAATGCAATTGCAAATGTTGTCGGATGTGCCGAGAAAGAAGGCAGGAGATTCTCCTGGTGTCCAAGTTACTGCGGCGGGGAAGTTCAGGTCGTTTCTCAGTGCTTTGCAGACTCTGAGACCGGAGCTCAGATATTCACAAGAAGCACATACTCAGTTACTTTCTTTAGACATAATCAGGTCCCAGATTCACCCCCACCGGAGAATTCTTGAATCCATGTCACAAGCACATGAGTGTAGATGTATATTTATGTACAGCCTGTTATCGTGAGACATGCATGACCGTATGTCATGCGATGTTGAAACCACATGCCACCTTGCTCCTCGGACATGATGTGTCAGAGGATGTCTCACCTGAATTGTGGTATTAGAATCAATGGAGCATGCTGTCGGACTGGTGGCTAGGGCCCTAAGCTTGGCTTGAAAATCAGCTTCAACTTTCCAGCCCAGCCTCTCTGCTGCCTCTTCTCGTCACTTTATTAAACTTTGACTTTGACTTTACAATTGCTTGGAACGTATGCAGATTTTGTCAAGACCGGAAACGCTGCAACCGTGCTTGGCTCAGAGGTACTTTCAGGGGTTGGCATGTTCAATATAGTGCGTCTAGAACATAGTTACTGTCAAGCCCTGCGTAGAAACTGTTGCAATCAGGGCAGCCGGGCAGCTGACATGCCTCAGACATACATCACAGAAAGCGTTTGAAGCACACGCGGAAGCGTCGCTGACTGTGGTCCTCAGAGGTAGTGCCGGAGTTTTACGTCTTGCACAGGCCTTGTGACCCCTCGCCAGGCGATGGATGTGAGCCTGCAGCAACGCGAGCTTGTGGAGCAGGAGCCACTTCGGAAGACTCCAGGGCAAAATGCGCTGCGAGCATGGCGTCTTCCCTGCAGGTGAAAATCTGGTTCACTTGCACTGAGATGGAGGTGTGCTTGGATGCATCCTTGCGCTGTGCAGGCGCAGTGACCCCCCTGGTGCCAGCTCAATTTTTGCTGAGGCCCTGGTGCAGACGGCCGTTCAATTTGCAGATGCACACTGTGCTGTGTTCGAGCCCGAACTGGGCGAGCACAAGCTGGAGTGCGCCAGATCGGGCGTTGCACCGGATACTCGGGAGGTCCTTCTTCAGATGTGTTTGCATTGGTTTTGCATGCTTTTTGGGTGCTCCTTCTCCCTGCTGCAGTGCAGGTACACCCGGCTACACAACGAATTCAAGCAGCTTTTCGAGGATGCTGGTTCATTCTTCGGCAGCATACCGCCTGTGTCGGGTCTTCGAGTGGCTGCTCTCTTGTCTACCTTGTTCACATCGCGCCAGATTGCATGGGCAGCGCTGTCACACGGCACACGGTGGTCAGGACAGGCTGAATGCCTTCTTGAGCAGCATCGGTGCAACGCCCGAGGCGTTGTAGACATGAAGCCATTCTCAGCCCAGCGTCTTGCACAACTGCCGATACAGCTTGCAAGGCGTTCTACGAGGCTTTTGAAAAAATCGGGACGGAAGAAGGAGGTATCCTCACTATTGTTTCATCCGGAGTAAGCAGCTGCATGATCGTCACATGAGTGCAGGCGAGGTGCAGGGACTTGCAGAAATCATGTACACGTGCCTGCAGTACGACTTCTTCTGCCAGGCACGCGGCATTTAGTGGGGTGTCGCTCGTGTAGATCACGTTTGGGGAGACTTACGAAGATTGACGGCCTAGACGCTCAAGCAAGGCTCTGGCACAAGACAGCACGGATCGTCGCTTTCCTTGCGCCGCCATAGAACCGAGTTCCCTCGAACCGCAAGATTGCCATTACGTCTCACTCTGATTGTCAAGTTTGACTTCATGCCGACTACATCCGGTTTCCATTTTCAAACATCGGGCTGCACCTGCACCTGACCGATGGTCAAATTCAGGTTGGCACTTAGTTCTATCGGTACGATCCGACCATCCGGGCGGGATCGGGATCCTAGTTTTCTGCTACCTGACCACAGCTTATGCTGGAGGTTTTCTATACGTCATCCCACGCTTTAGCATTGGACCGATGCAGGACATAGGGGACTCCCTATGTTTACTAGTTTACCGTGCTTGCGCGTGCTTCTTCCGTGTACATGGTCGACCAACCGTGCACGACGGTGGCTCCCAGCGCTGCAGCGGTTTAGGGTTTAGGGTTAAGGCGGTTAAGGGTTTAGGGTTTAGGGTTTAGGGTCCCTAAACCCTAATCCTCGCAATAGACTGGCAGGTGCAAATGTCCCACATGTTACAAGGGGCGCCTGTCTGCATTAAGTATGATTTGCTCCAGCTTGCACCACGATTCCCCGTGCTGGACAACAACCCCAACTTAGCATGCAACGCCTGAGTCAGTTGTACAGTGCTGTGAAGGGGAGCCGAAAAGAGGCGAACCGGAGGACCACGGCCTTTAAATGCTCTGCGCTGCGATTGGGCTTGTCATCTGCTCCATCCGCGATTGTTGAGTAGTCATACCGAGTCATACCCCTTGTGCGTCGGGTGATCCACATCAACGACTGCAAAAGACTCCTTCCTGCTCAAGCATTCCCTTGTGGTGGCCGGAAAATGGGGGGCTGTCTTGAATACTTATTCCAACAGGGGTCACCCCACGGAAGAATTTTCAGGGACGTTTCTGGGTTTAGGGATGTTTTTGGTTTCCGGGTTCAGGGTTTCTGGGTTCAGGGTTTCTGGGTTTGGGGTCTCTGGGTGTAGGAATTCCGGGTTCAGGGTTTCTGGGCTTGGGGTTTCTGGGTGTGGGTTGAGGGGTTCAGGGTTTCTGGGTGCAGGGCTTCGGGGTTCAGGCCTTTTGGGTTTGGGGTTGAGGGGTTCAGGGTTTCCGGCTTTGGGTTTTAGGGATTTTAGGGTTTAGGGTTTCCAGTGGTTCCCGGAGCCCACAAACTCCTGAACGAACAAGCGCCGAAACTTCTTCGATGTAGACAGCATGGAGCAACAGCACAGCTATGGGCCTAAAGACTGGTCTTGACAGACAGATAGTCAAACATACATTATTATGCAATCCGACACTCCAGAGACGTTTGGGATTCCGGGCTGTGGGCTTAAAGATTTGTGGAACAAGCAGTCAGACATTCCAGGCGGCCACGCCCAAAGCTCCGAAACACACGGCCCGAACCCCGAATTTCTCGCATCAAACACTCCACGTATAAGCAGTTTTTTAAAGTGCGTTGTTCTTTTGCTCGTCCGAAATTTCGGACCCTTAAAGTACCAGGTTAGGGTCCGGACCCGGGTTGCGGACCCGGGTTGCAGGAAATTAATCCGACGTCCCCCACTTCCCGGAATAATGACGTCCTCCCCCCCCGGCATAATTACTTAATTACTCCAATCCCCGCCCATGACCCTCCCCTTAAGACACCCCCCATGCCGGAAAGTGAATCCAAATTCTGCCACCGAAAGTGCCCGTAAAAGAATTGCTCATCGTGTATGCAGTTTCCCTTAGTGTGTTTTTCAATTGGTGCGTCTCCGTCGATTTTTCTGTTTTTCAGGGCATTCGTTTTATCGAAAGCGCTTCTGACGAAACACTTCACCTGTGGATGCGCTTCTCGCACCCAGAAGACAGAGATACCTTCAAACAATGTAGGGTTGCAAAAGTAACACGCGTTGTTCCAGCAGGAAGTGGACAACTCGTGCATGAGCGACTTGTTGCCTTTTCCAGTGCCTTTTCCTGATCTTACACCCAACCCGAACTCCACCAGATATTGCTATCTCCGAGTACATCACAGTATGCCCCATCAGCGCGAACTCTTCTTGCCAGATCATGTGCGAACGGAAGCGCGAGATGGAAATGCAACAGGCTTCGCTCGTTTCCCCAGTTCATTACCCGCAAACCGTGATTCAGCTTGGCGTGCCTGGCAGGCAACCGGTGTCCTTCCAACTCCGCCGCCTGCGCCACCCGGTGGCTATGTAGGCGACAGAATGACCTTGTGCAGATGCACTTGAACTTCTATCCGTCACCGGACAGCATCTGACATCACACTTTCGCAGATCCACGAGCTCAAGGTGCAGAAGGTTATTGCGCTGGCGCGCCGCTGGCGCCTCCCTGAAGCCAAAATGCGCTTTCGTCAAGCGTGCAGTGCCGGCTTGAGTGCATGGTTGGGTGCAGCTCCGCGGAATTGCCAGCTTCCTTTTTAAACACTACACAACATGTGGCTCAAATTGAAGTGTGCAGGTCGGCAGGTTTCAGAACCCACTCCGTTCCGGGACTTGGTACTCAGATCGTATCCCTCAAAAGCAAGTCCTTAACGAAACTGCATCCGTCTTTCTGGGAGAGCACCTGAGGGTCGTCTTGGTTCAGTTCTCAGCAGAAACTACGATGCGGGGTCATGCGGGGTCTTGGTATGCCTCGACAAGCGGTTCTCCAAAGTAGCAATCAAAGCAGGGCCTTCCATGTCGCTTGAGAAAGTTACAGCAGCGCCACCCTCAAGAGTGAAGACCGATGAGTAGAAAAAATCGACTAGTAGTTTCTGGTGTGAGCATTCCCAGGGCACTGGCGGAAGTTCGTCTTCCAAAGCAGCCCGCCCGGTGCGATCGCACAAGGCAGAGAGTCGATGTCTTTTGTCGTGTCTGCATTTGAAGCAACTCAGGATTCGTAGTCTGCGTGGTCTACGGTTGCTCTGCTTCAGGTCGTTTTCCTGGGGCAGTGCGGCACTGGCAAGACGGCGCTCATCCGACAGTTTGTGCACAGGAGTGCTGGGCTCCAGGTCATGTGTTTGTTCTCGTTGAGAGTTTTAGAAGGACGTTTGACCAGAACTACACTGCCACCATTGGCATGGACTTTGTTGGAAAGTTGCTCTCTCTTGAGGCGGAGCTGGGCTTCGCACCTGCAATCAGAACCTCCCCCACAACCAAGGGACGGCAACTGCGCCTGCAGCTCTGGGACACAGCCGGCCAAGAGAGGTTTCGAGCATTGATGCCCAGTGCTGACCCCAGTGCCAATGTCAGCAATTTTCTGACAAAAGCCTGCGTTTTGGAAGTCATGGTAACCTGGTAGTCGTGTCTCGTTCGATCCGTTTTGCAGGTTATCTGAGAGACAGCTCGGCCTGTGTCGTCGTGTACGACGTCACATCCAAGGCCCGGCACTGCTCGCATGATCTCGCATGAAGCTATCGAGACATGGCGAGCCTCTGCCTCTGGGGTGATTGCTGAACGCAGCGGGGTTGGGTGTTCCGACATGTTTCTGCGATTCAGCCAGAGCCGGGTAGAGTCAGAGAGTAGAGCCGTTGTGCAGGAGTCCTTTGACAGCATCCGTGGCTGGGTAGACTTGGCCCTTGAGGACGGGAAGCTGGCTCTGCACAGAAGACATTACGCAGATTTACGTTGAGGTGTGTTTGATTGACAGCCTTTTGCAGGGTCGCTCTCGCCGCGACTTGCTGCTCGTTCTTGTGGGAAACAAGATCGATCTGGAGGCACGTCAAACACTGCGGGAAACAGGTTTGCCTGCTCATTCATTGTTTCCTGCTCACCATTGGCATTGGCTTGTGAAGAGGTGCCAAGCATCAAGTAACTGCACAGGTTTAGTACAGAGTCGAACCATGTTGAACAACACCATGAAAGTTGCACAGCCAACACTTGCAAGAAAGCATACTCGCGGCAGAACATGTTCTGGCATTGTCAGCTTCTTGATCACGATCCCTCTTGCAATCCTCCCATGGTGGGCGTGGGCTCGCCACTCTCTTGCTGGTCTGTAGGTGAGCTGGAGCGAGTGCAGGTTGCTGGGCATGCAGCAACTGTTCAGTTTCCAGTAGGCATTCTGAATCGCACACGGCAGTGTCTGAATGAAGCGCGAGGGCTACATTGATCACAGAATCTCGCTCCTTGCGCTAGAGATATAGGGAGAGATGTGCAGATCGTGTCCAGTTCGCTGAAGCGGCGTGTCTGCGGCTCTCGTCTGCACGGCTGCATACGGGTGCCTTACTCGCTCCAAAGAGCGGTGCCGTTGTTGCCGCGCCAATTGGGTTAAGGAAGCCCAGACAAAGACAGGCTGGTTTCAAAAAAGGACCAACAGCTCCTGCGAATCGAAGCCCTTGCAATCCATCCTGATGTAAATGTACTGCAGAGAGTGTGGATTTGGAACAAAGTAGTCGGATGATGCCTGGTATACCGGTAGAACTACGCGGTGGTTGTGGATCGCAGAAAGGTGCGGGATGGCGTGGCAGAAAAGAGGCGTTCAGAAGAAGAGGCGCTGAGTCTACGTACGGGAACACCAAAAAAGGGGGGGAGGCCCGGGCTCAGGCCAAGTCATCTCCTTGATTTCAAAATCTGCACAGGGCACAGCCTCTTAAAGCCTGGTTTTCCTGGCTACGAGGGTGCACAGAACAGCATCTTGAGTTCACAGCTCAGACCCTTCTCTCTTTTCTCGTTGATGCGCATGCCAACTGGGGACGAAGATGGAGACAGCCAGTTTGCGTGCTGATGCAGGTTCCCCACTCTGTTCACAAGATGTAAAGCCGGGCTGCCCTGTTCCCCCTCCTGGGTTGAAGTGTAGGTCGGTGTTCCGAATGCCTGTCTCAGTCTTTGCTCTGCACCTTCATACTGCCAAGAGAACGCACTACCGCAAGGTGCCTGTACAGGTCTTGCAAAAATCGATCAACCGATGTCCAACTTTGGGATCGGCAGACTGTTCGGCTACACTCGCAGATCAGGCAGCGCTGCACGGGTCGTCACAGATCCCAATGCTCGGAGAAAGATCAAGCTCAAAGGAGACACAAGCTTCCGAAGCCAAAGCCAGAGATAATCCCATGAGTTGCTGTGGTGACGGCACCGGGGTTGCTCCTTTAGCCTTTCGGATGGTTCATCCTCGCATTTGAGGATCCATGATGACCCTCGTGGGATCATTTGCCTCTCAGCTGGGTGTGCCCAGCTTTATCGCCAAGATGCTGGAGAAAGGACCTGTGGCCGAGAAGCGGGGTGAATGCTGTTTGAGTCCGCTTGGTACAGATGCGAGCCATCACGAGCCTCAGGAACTCATGGTAAACCCGACTGCCCGAAAGTGCGGAAAGTCACGAGCGAAGCACGTCGACTCCGACCGCAAGCATCGGTAGACGCACCGCTTATGCCAAGCTCCTCCACGAACCCATCCCAAAGGCCTGCTGAGTTTCAGTGTGCTGTCAGTGTGCCGTGTGCCACTGTGTGACTGTAGGAGCAGCCCAGTAAAAGAAGGGTTGTTGTGACGGGAAGTGCCGTGCCGAGGGCGCAGGGGGACCCCAGCAGCTTGGAGGAGGCCGAAGCAGTTCTTCCCATTACTGAAGCATGCTCATGCCCCAAAACCTCAGCAGTGCATTCGCTATTCAAGGCTGAAGTCAGCAACGAGAGCTACGACAGCGATGAAAGCAGCAGCAGTGGCGACGATGCGTTCGTTGAACATGCCATGGCTGAGGTGGACAAGTGGATTCATTGCACTTTGTCCCACATGAGTTCATCCGTGTAAATGTTGTGCGGCGAAGCCGCACATTTTCCACAGGGTGAATGAGTACCAATGCTAGCACGTTGTGCCTTCAAAGGGGGCTGGATTGGATCATATTTTCCTGTGGCTTCTGCCACGGTGCTGGTAACCGCCGTCGCTGAAAGCGCTCGCGGTGCTGCAGCCTGACAACCCATCGCCGGCGCCGGCGTCTCTCCACAGAAGAACTAGTGATGCACCTTGGCATGTAGCTCTGCCGCTACAGTACGGATCTGGGGGACTTGGGCAGTGTGCCTCACCGCCAGGCGCAGAGGTGTGTACAGAAAGCCGAAGGCGAGGCCTTGGCCGAGGACTTGAAGATGCTCTTCTTCGAGGCCGGGGGGGGCACCCGTCCATCCTCATCTCTGTGTGTGGCTTGAGCAGGCCACAGCGAAAGATGCGACTCTTGTGGATGCGATTTTCTATGGCTTGGCGGAAGGCTACGGGTCATCAGGCGCTACTGGTATGTGCTGAGTTCCCAGAAATGTGCAGGTTTGACGTCGGAGCAGCACAAGCCCGAATCTGACGACGAGATCGTGCTTACAGCACCTCCTCGAAGACGAGAGGCCAATAGAAGTCGTGCTAGATGCATTGCAGTGCTCTCCGCTCTCCAGCTGGTCTTTGAGGTGCACGATCGGAACAAGAAATGCTGTTGACGGGGTTCCGAACCGGATGCAGCTGTACAGAGAAGCTTGCAGGCGCCCCCCATGCATCAGGGTGATTGGGCTCATTCGTGTTTTTTCGAGTTGGCTGTTTGTGCAGGGCGTGCGGTCGGGCAGCCGGAGCCCAGCCCCGAGCAGTAAAGTAGTACAGACACTGAGCAGGCCAGTGCACAAAGATGCAGAAACGGCTCTGTCCCTGTGCAGCTCCGCATCTCGCGAACTTGCGAGGTCGAGCCAAGAATCCAGAACCACCATGCACAAATTATAGCAAGTACTGCGTCTGCGCCGCATGCCGAACATGTCCGAACATGTCAAGAAGAAGAATAAGCTGATGAATATGAAACACACATGGCATCATGGCTCAGATCTCCGTTCAGTCGAACCATGATAACCATGTCAAACCTTGCAAGACACCTGGCTCTTGGACAAGGTAACTGTTAACTGACACACTCTGCGCAGCCGAGCTTCAGAGGAGAGAGCACTCACAATCCGTACACCTTGCCGGCCTTGCCGCACTGACTCCCATCCCGCCTTACTCGAGCTTGCATCCTCCTGGCCTGGAATGCACCATGGGCCTGCCGGGCCTGCCGCTCAAAGTTCTGCAACACTTTGACATGATGTGCTACTGCTACTGCTTTTGATGCCTTTTGGATCCCTCTCGTCCGCAATCAATGAAGAGGCCTTGACCATGCCTTGGAATGCTCCGAGAGCCATCGGGTTTGTGTAAGACGAATCTGCAGGACTCGCCAGGCTTTGGCCACGTCTGGGAAGTGATTTGTAGGATTCAAGATTCTCAGAGCGCAGCGATGGTAGCCAAGAGCCGGATTTTCCCTGTCTTTAAAGCTAAGGGATTCTTGCGATCAGAGCGAGCACAGAGCTCAGTCGAGGGCTTGTGCGCAGTACGGAATAGATGATAGAAGTATCTCACATGTAGATGTATCTACTTGCGGCATGTAATGATGTTTAGTACTATCGTCGAGGGTTGGTGCGCCGAGAAAAACAGACCCGTCCTTCCCCGAAGATTCCGCATCTTGCCGTGACATTGCATGTACGCAGGCGCAGCAATCACAGAAGAACAGCTGGGCACAGCCTCGCGTTTGCTTCCCAATGCAAGGGCCAGCGGATCCGAGGCCCGCGACGTCCAGTCAGCCGTCGGAAAGCTCGGACTCTGATGGCAACGAGGAGGGCATCATTCCAGCGGAGGTGCAGAGCGATGGCTCATGGTTCAAGTTTTCAGTCGTTGTTGTCGGTTGGGTTGGGAGAAGATAGATGTGCCAAGCAGTTGCCGGCTGAGATCCGCTGACTTTTGGAATTGGGTGCTCGTCAGCTCTGCTCGGGCAATGCTTTCATGGCAGGCTATCTTGCCTGGCATCATGGAGATTCCCTGTGAGTCGCACTTACAGGCTATCGTGAGCACATGCCATGGGCAGCCAGGATGGGTCATGTGGCACTGTTTTGAAAGGTTCCGTGCTTCGGCACGCTGCCGATGCCCTCGCACTCCCCAACTTCGCCCTTGCCTCGGTGCTCGTATCTGCATCGCAGAAGAGATGTCAAAGGACTGTCGGAGGTTTACGGACTCTTATGAACTAGGACTAATTCTAACGCTACGCAGCCCGCCTCCCCTCGACAGCGGCGAGGGCAAGGGGAGAGTTTGGGGTACCAGGCAAAGATGTCACGAGCAAGCCATGTGAGTGGGTGGGAAAGCGGGTGGAGGGAGGTTTGGGGGGAGGAGGGGCAAACGAGAGAAAAACTGCCTGAAATGGACCAAAATAGGGGGCAAGGAAGGGAAAGGGCAGGTGAAATTTGTGAAAGGAGGGGCCAGCCGGGGTGGCGGTTCGAAACCGTGGCCAACAAACGCATGTCACGAAACTTTTGGGCTGCAGGGAGGAGGATTAGGTAGAGGGTATTTAGTTGAACCCTCAAGACGCCGGGGGCCTGTGGCCTCGACGGACTAGGACAAGTGACAAAGGTTTTCAGCCACTGCTCCACATGAGCAGACGGCGGGGCATAGAGCCCGGTCGGATTGCAAGCGAGGTCACTGAGGGGCTGGGTGGTTCCCCAGCCCTCCTTGGAGGCAGGGCACGTCATGCGGCCCACGAGTCTGCGATCGAGGGATCAATGAATTTTCAGACCAGGACTTCGGTGGCGAACCAGACGGAGAACAGTTGGCTCGTCTTCCAAGGAGCCTGGTTCGGTAATCGGCAGAAGAAATGTGCGAGTGCAACAGCGAACGTCATGGTACTACAGTACAAGGAAGCAGTGATACAGTGCTCGTCCGGGACCGGACACTCGTCAAGGTGGTGTTCGCCGACCTCCTTGTGCAAAAGTTCGCAGTGGGCTGCGTTTTTTCCGAAGTCTCTGCAAGATTGGTGGGTTTGCGAGTACATCGCTGTCGTTTGGGCAATATCCCGTGCTGGTCATCGTCGGTTGCATGGTGGCGCCTCATCTACCTTGAAGATGTTGCGAGGTCGTGTTCGGATCTCAACAGTTGCTTCGTTGATCGCATAGCATCGAAGAGGCTGTTTCTGAAACATTTTATATACACTCTGGATTACCAACAGATCGTCGATGGAAATGACAAGAGAAGTTCCACGGGGGCAGGTATTTGCCGCGTGTCATAGTTCTTTGGACGACCCAAATGAAAATCGCCTGTGCTTGGCGGCTTCGTAGTGTGCATCGTCACTCTTCTGGCTAAGCCGCCAAGGCCCAGGCTCTTGCAGGATCTTGGCAGTTTCGCGGACCAGAGTTCACACAGCCACCACCTGGCATGAACAAGCCATTATGCACTCGATCCCACAGCCCACCTGCTGAGATGCATTACATCAGCTGCACCTCCTGTTTAACACTGAATCACTGGCGTGTGGTGCTGATGTGACAGTTTCAGGAGCCACTTGATGTTTGCTGGCGCCTCTCGCGGCTCGGCCGTCCCTTGGCTGCAATCCAGCAAATTGCGTCACAACCCACGGATCTTCACAGCTGCGTGGCATGAAATGGGAACTCCTGAAAAAATCAGGTCAACTTGCCTAGAAGATCTGAAGCACGGAGACCTTTACCCTCACCGTGCCGAACTCGGCTACTACAAGACGAAGGCTTTTGTGCCTGTCGCGATACTGCTACAGGCTGAACCAGCTGCCTCACAGACTTCGCGGCCCGCTTGAGTCTCAAACTTCCCCCGAGCGGATGGGAAGGCACAAAGTTCTTAATCGCCAGGCGGCGTCCAGCCCTCTTCGCGTCCAGTTATACGGGGCCTCCAGCAGCCCCGCAGGCGGAACGCTTCTTTGTCGGCTTCGCCTACAGTTCAGACGGTCACCTGTCTGGCAGGGTGATGGCGCCTGCGCCAGCGAACGCAGCTGCAGCTCCGGAAGCTCTAGCAGCTGGGACAAGAACTTGACGTGACAAATCAGGGAACATCTGGCAAACCTCACGCCAGTTCGAAAGCCCCGAAGGGATCGACAAAGTGCTTTAACTTTATGCGCCTCCAGGCCGACTCTTCGATGCAGAGGCACTGGCAGACCATTTGCATTGCTGCCTTTCCAGTCTTCCCAATCCTGCTTCAGGTTGACGAAGAGAGCCACAGGAACATGCTTCCGGTGGCAAATACCTGAGTTTAAAAGGATTCCATGCAAGCAGCTATCACGAGATGCCAAGCAGAAGGCTACCAGTCGATCTGGCCGCTCACGCCCCGGACCTCTTACGCAGCCACTCGGCGATGCAGCGGAACTCAGCTCCATTACAGCTTGCGCACTGCGTAGCTGGCAAAAGCCATTTGATGCAGGCCCACGAAAGAGCGCGGTCTGTGCCCCTGCATGATCGGAATCACAGCAGAATGGTCGCTTGACAGCAAGCATATGGCTTTCAGGGGACATGTTGAGTCGGTGAGGCAGCGACCACATGCCCAACGCTCTTTGCCACAGGCTTTGATCTTCTACGACCAGGTATCACCGCCCAGCGCTGGTGTAGAAGAGGACAAGCGCGTTTGCTTGTTTGTGGCACGCGAGTGGCACCTCAGTGCGGCGAAGGCAGCTCCAGGGGAGACCTGGGCTGAAGCTGCTCGAGCCTTGAGACACGGAAGGAAGAGTTCTCGGAGTCCCGGTCACGTCCTAGGCACCCGGCGACCGCGAGGCCGAGGCCAGCGAGGAGCGCTCCAAAGCGCTTTCTTTGGGTGTCTTCCAAAACCGGCTGCGGGCGCGGGCAAGAGCACCAGGAGAGGCTTGCGTCCCACGGCCACGTGCCTCTCCCGGACTTGTCATCGCCTTGGCAAGTGGCCGAGGCAAAGATCTCGTCTCTGCTGTCATGGGTAGTCAGGTAGTCGCTTCTGTCAATGTAGCACTGATGACCCTTCTGCCAGGAACTGGGCCAGTCGGGTCGCATGGTACCTCCCAGGTACCTCCTCGTTCGGTTAGGCCACCGGCCTGCACAGCATAACCGTGGAAGTCTTTAGTTGCTCGGTGTCCCAAGCTGAGGGCGAGGGAGAGAGACATATGTATATATATATATATATAAATAAATAAATAAATAAATAAATATATATATATATGTGTATATATATATATATGTGTGTATATATATATATATAAAATATTATATAATACACACCCACATATGTGTGTGTGTGTGTTTGTTTTGGTCTCTCTCTCTCTCTCTCTGTCTCTCTTTCCTCTCTCTCTGTCTCCGTCTCCGTCTCCGTCTCCGTCTCTCTCTGTCTCTGTCTCTGTCTCTGTCTCTGTCTCTGTCTCAGTCTCAGTCTCAGTCTCA